AAATGACGAGGGTCTTTGCTCCTGTGCTTTATTACAGCCATTGCATGGGAACATGGTATCCCTCTACCCTGATACTTCTGACAAGAGCACTCCCCCTTTTTAGTCCTACAGTTGACGGTGACTTCATGGCGATGACCCCCACGTCTCCCATCCTCCCAGTGCCCAGTCTCGACCGAAAACTCGCCAGCATTTCGGTTCATCACAGTGATTGTGTGACCAGAGCTCTTCCGATTATCTTTTTCCATTATTTTTGTGACATAATCGGAGTGTACCTTACCCTGTGCCTCCCTCTTCTCACACCATTGGAGACGGTTGACGAACCATCTGTTTGTTTTCCAGAATGTCATCTCAATAATTGCAGAGATGGGGAGTGCACGACATTCCCTGTAGACGTTGTTGATACTCTCGCTTGGGTTTGTTGTGGCAATACCCCATCTGTGACCTCCGTCCTTATGAAAAGTCCACATTTCAAGGTCATGTTGATCAAGCCACTGCGCACCTTTAGGGCATATTTGACGGATATTCTGCATCTTCTCTTTAAATTTCTTCTCTTGGTACGCGACAACTGATGAATATAAAAAAAACGTCAAATAAGCAAGATCGACCTTATTGCCAATACAAGTACACTCGTAAGACTCTTAGGAGAGGTATACATCTCCTTAGAAACACAGTCTTTTTGACAGAAAAAGGGGGGATCCGAGGATCGCTTAGAACCCGATTTTCCCAGGTCATGGGGGGATCATGATGATGGCTTAAGTCCCCATTTCCTTGACATGCATTTCTTTATAAAGAGTCTAGATAAGTGTTGTATTGTATTGAAACACTCCATACTTTTATACAGTTGAAAAAATTTACAGATACACAATTAATTAGAACGCTTACTGATCCACCATATACTGTCAGCAAGCTTCTTTCGCTTGAAATGATGGTTTGAGTTGCTCTTGAAATGCCGTATGCACCATCTCTGTGACCAGTTCCAGGCTGGATCCAAGCCTAAGATAGCAGCCCGTATTCCGGCGTGGCGATCTGAGATGATAGTCAGGTTCGTCCGCCTGGTGACATGGAGCTGAATTTGTCTGAAGAACCATCCATAGCTATCGGCATTCTCTCCCTCCACAATGGCAAAGGCTAATGGATATACTAATCTATTTGCATCTGCTCCGCTGGCAATCAGTAGAGTACCCTTGTACTTGCCGGTAAGGAATGTTCCATCAACTTGAATCACAGGAACACAGTATGGAAAACCATCAATACATGGCTTGAAGGCCCAGAAAAGACGCTTGAATTGGCGATTGTTACCAGGCACCAGCGGTTGAATTTCTTTATCTTGGTAGCGAGGCGAGAAAATGGTGCTAGGGTTAGACACCTCCAACGCCAAAATCAATTGGGGAAGGAATGCATATGATTCTTCCCAGTCACCAAACACGGCAGCCATTGCTTTCTGTTTCCCATGCCACGCTTTCTTGTAGTTAATGATATAACCATAACGACTAGATATGTGGGCAATGATGGTTTTGACCTTCAGGTCGGGCTGCTCCTCAATTAGATGTTTGATAGCCGCGGCAACCACCCTTGATTTCAACTGTCGATGGCCTTGGGATGTTATTGATGACACACATGTGTGTGTGTTCACCGCACGGGATATGACCCAATGGCCGACTCTCTTGCTCTTGATGGCCCGGACCCTAGCTTTGCATCCCTCATTTTCATTTTTGCATCGAACCATCAGCCTCTTTGTGTCGGAATGGTTTGTTTGCCATTCAAAAATCCGAGTCATTGCTTCAGTGCAAATAGCATGTCGGACCTCATTCTTCGTTGCAAATTGTTGGCCCTTCGTAAAGCCAGTTAGTGGACCCCATACTGGCACATCTGGCGGGTCCATGTCGGCATCAACATACCAATATTCATTTTGAATGTGATTGTAGTATGGAATAGGTACACGGTCGTGAGCTACCTCATCACCATCTGCGTCTGAATCTGGACCGGAATCATCAGCACCTTCCAGCGGATCGTCGCTGTCTGCACTAACTTCGCCTTCCTCTTCTTCAACCTCAGGGTCACTAACTGGACTTGGATTGACCTCTTCTTCCATCTGATTATCAGCATGAAAGGCACCTTCACCTTCACTAGCTCCGTAATGGTAGTTGTGGTAACTAACACCGCTTTGCTAGAAGTTGTACTCGGGTGGGTACTGGTAGCCTGCTTGTTGGTTGTAATCCGCCTGTTGAGCTTCTTCTTCATATGAAGGGAAGGATTGATGACTTCCTCCAGTTCCATGATGATACTCCTGCCTCCAGCTTGACTCTTGGAAATCCTGGTGGGGATGATCTTCGTATAATACACTCCCACCGTGGATACCAGATGTTTGGCCATCTCCAGAATGACCTACACTGCCTTCAACGACCTCAGTGTAAACGAACATCTCCGCTTGCTTAATTTTATTGGTGGTCAAAAATTGGACCATGGCATCAACGTCCTCCTGAGTGGTAAGGAGGAATTCCTCATTCCACAGCGACCCGTCATGTCAGTTTGGATATCGATACACCATTCGATCAACTCTTCTAGTGCCATCCATGCAGGTAATCTGAGTGCACATTTGATGGAGCTCTTCAAGCATCGGTCTCGTACGGACCTTCATTTTATAAAAATTGCCACCGACGTAACTTACACCCTTTTCGGTCTCTTCCGTGTAACCATTCCACCGCAACCCAAGCGTGAATCTTTGGAATGCCATCTGCAATGAAAATTAATTAAGTTACTAACATAAAATCACAAATGACAATGAAAAGTAATTAAGTTACTAACATAAAATCACAAAGGACAATGAAAAGTAATTAAGTTACTAACATAAAATCACAAAGGACAATGAAAAGTAATTAAGTTACTAACATAAAATCACAAAGGACAATAAAAAGTAATTAAGTTACTAACATAAAATCACAAAGGACAATGAAAAGTAATTAAGTTACTAACATAAAATCACAAAGGACAATGAAAAGTAATTACGAAACAAACTTACGAATTAACGTTAATCGCATAAACTAAATAATTTAAAGCTGAAATTTTAAGAAGGAAGAGGAGGAGGTGTGAAGAATTGAGTTCTCTAAACCGCCTTTTATAGGCAAATTTTGCAGCAAAACCGCTGGGGGGGGGAGCGGTTTTAGGTCTGCCATGCAGCCCTACCCCCTGCATGCCGACATGTCCGACATGTTGGCTGTCGGGTGACCAGGCACAAACCGCGCCTTGGGGCAGCGGTTTATGTCCTGACATTGTAAACCGCCGCTTGGGGAGGCGGTTTGTAATGCCGACAGTTAAACGCTCCCTCTTGAAGCGTTTTGTGGTAGGGTTAGCCTATAACGCGCCTTCCAGAAGCGTTTTTTTCTGGAAATTAAAAACGCTGCCTGTAGGCGCGGTTATAATGTAAAACGCTTTCTGGAGGTGCGGTTTTATTAAAAACCGCTCATTAGAGGCGCGGTTTTATATAAACGATAGTATTTTTGGAAATTATTTGGAGTGAGTGGTATTTTTGTAATTTTTTTTAAACAGTGGTAGTTTTGGATTTTTTCTGTTATTATTGTTTTCCATGTTCTTTCTCTAACAATCCCTGTAGACCAAAATCCACCTCTTTAATTAAAACTGGATTCGATTGAGCAAAATAACACGTAGAGGGAAATGAGAACATGTAACTTACGATCTGTCGTCTTTATGGGTATAAGATTTGAGAAATTTGAGGAGAGAAATAAAAGATACAATTTTACAAAAAAGTGTTTTGGTGATATTGAAGCATAAAAACAAAACTTTTTAATATTTTGAATGCGATTGGGGTTCGTCTAGAAAATTGGTGTTTAAATCTCTTAGGGGTGGTTTGCTTCATGGATTTGGATGATGGATTTAACCAAATTCAATCCATCATGGATTAAAGAAAAATTTATTGCTTGCTTGCACTTTTTTTAGAGACCAAATCCGTTGGGCCCATGGATTTTAAGCATATAAATATGTGGACCCCGCGGTCTTGTAAATCTCACATGTTGGATTTGGAACATGACATAAATCCTTGATGAGATTTTACCCATATACCCTTCTGAATTTTTAATATTCTAAGGTTGCCCTCAAATTTAACTATTGTACATTATAACTAATCAATTAATTAACAACAAAGGAATAATATAAATATTCAATTAATTTGCAAACATGAGTTAGATTTTTTATGTCATTTCTTGAGTTCTAGTTTCCTTTGACCTTTTCACGGAACGTGTAATTCTTTATTCTCCCGATTCTAATATATGTTGTTATATGTTACGTTTAAAAAGGAGGACAAAAAATTGATAACCGATTATGTTAACTTAAAACTAACAGAAACTTTCCTTTTATTGTTATTGTCCTTGTGGCAAAATTATGCTTATTAGTACGTATTGTTCTTGTTTTGTGTAAATATAATAAACATGTCAAACATATAGATCACGGTAGTAAGATAATTTTGGACTTTAAGTTCTAAATCTCACACCCTTAAATCCATGATAAAACATCTCAACAAACAAAGGATTGCTACAAATCCATAATGTCTCAAATCTTTGAAAAATTCTTGGGTTTTTAAATTACAAAACCTTCATCTTCAAATCCATGAAACAAACGACCCCTTAATCATAACCAATCACTAACTCTTTTTGCGTTGATGAAGCCTCCTCTAAGGGTTGCTTGGACTCTAAGTCTTGTTCGAGTTCTCAAATGGAAGTGGAAGAAAATAAAGCGGCTCAAGAATGGGTTATGCAAGAGGAGGTTGGATGAAATGGAGTGAGTCGTTCAACCTTGAGGGCAAGGTTGGTCTCAAAGGGGAGGGGATGATAGAAACCTAATTTCTAGGTTATATAATAATTATCATTAATTTTATTTATTAGGATATTATTAGATATGGTTAGTAGTATTTGAGTCATATTAGGATAGTCTATTAGGTTTTTCCAGTCTTTCATTATAAATATGTACTTTGCGTTTTGTTTAGAATCAATCAAGAAGAATATTAAGAAAACACTCTCCAAAACCCTATTCTCCCAATCCTCTCAATTCTCGATCCCAACCCTCTAAAGGCTTTGGCAGATTCTCTATCTTTCTCTTCCCAAATCCCTAATTTTATTCTTTAATCCCTAATTACCAATCTCACAACTAGATCTGATAGAACCCTAATACCAGGTTTCTATCATTTGGTATCAGAGCCGGGTTCGAGAGCGAGTTGCTTACAACTCTCAACCAGGGACGACTTCTATCGAGCAGAGCCAAAATGAGTTCGCCAAAGTTCCGTGATCCAGAGTTTATTCGACTGTGGAAGTTGCTGCAACTGTCCTTTGACAAACTGGAAGAAGAGATGCGCAGGTGGGCTGCGAACGATGTCGTGGCTGCGTCGAAGCGATGTGGAGAGGCGGCAAAGACATTGCCACCAATGAGGACGAGCTACGCAAAACAACTGCAGCAAAGTATTGATTATTGGAGTACGGAAGCGATGCGGCTCAGGAGGGCAATATGGTTATTCTGCTAACAGCATAAGCTGTTAGTATATACTAACACGGTCGGATTTGAGGCCACGTAGGCGAGCCGCGATCGGACATTGGAGGGGGAGAAGAGCAGCTTGTGGCTCGGCTGAACCAAGCCTCTTCCTTTTTTTTAACAATTCAAAAAAACCCAACATTTTCATTTATGTTTAATTTTCTTCTCTCTCCATCATTTCATTTTCCTTTCTCTCCCACTCTCCAAAACTGTCGACTGCTCTCTTCTGTTCTTCTTCTTCTTCCTCTCTCTCTCTTCCAAATAATTCAAATAACCTCTCGACAACGATGGGTGTGAGAAACACGACGCCAGCGACAAGGGCTACGGGCAGGAAGAAGATGGCGGTGCTTGGCAACGCCGGTAGCGGTGCTTGAAGAAAGACGAATTCTGCCGAGCAAGAAGGAAGACATCGACGCTAGTAGCGCGAGGAAGACGACTACACCAGCTGCGAAGAGAAGAAAGTTTTTGAGGTAAGCATCTTCCTTTGTTGTAGGTGTTTTAGATCTGAGTTTCATTGTTAGGGATTTGGGATTCTTGTCAAGGGATTTGAGATTCGATTTGGGGGATCTTGGATTCTTTTGATTTGGGGGATTTGGATTTCTTTGGATTTGGGGGATCTAGGATTTTTTGTGGCTGGATTACATATATTTGATTTAGGGTTTCATAGATTCGACTGGATCTGAGTTTTTTTTTTTTGCTTCGTTTTTTGGATCCGAGATTCATTTTTAGGGATCTGGGCTTCTTGTCGAGGGATTTGAGATTCGATTTGGGGGATCTGAGATTCTTTTGATTTGGGGGATTTGGATTTCTTTCGATTTGGGGGATCTGGGATTTTCTGTGGCTGGATTACATATATTTGATTTAGGGTTTCATAGATTCGACTGGATCTGAGTTTTTTTTTTATTTTGCTTCGTTTTTTGTATATAAGATTCATTGTTAGGGATCTGGGATTCTTGTCGGGGGATTTGAGATTCGATTTGGGGGATCTGGGATTCTTTTGATTTGGGGGATTTGGATTTCTTTCGATTTGGGGGATCTGGGATTTTGTGTGGCTGGATTACATATATTTGATTTAGGGTTTCATAGATTCGACTGGATCTGAGTTTTTCTTTTTGCTTCGTTTTTTGGATCTGAGATTCATTGTTAGGGATCTGGGATTCTTGTCGGGGGATTTGAGATTCGATTTGGGGGATCTGGGGTTCTTTTGATTTGGGGGATTTGGATTTCTTTCGATTTGGGGGATCTGGGATTTTCTGTGGTTGGATTACATCTATTTGATTTAGGGTTTCATAGATTCGACTGGATCTGAGTTTTTTTTTTTTTTGCTTCGTTTTATGGATCTGAGATTCATTGTTAGTTTGTTAGGGATCTGGGATTCTTGTCGGGGGATTTGAGATTCGATTTGGGGGATCTGGGATTCTTTTGATTTGGGGGATTTGGATTTCTTTTGGTTTAGGGGATCTGAGATTTTTTTGTGGCTGGGATTTCTTTCTATTTGGATTTCTTTTGATTTGGGGGATTCGCTTTTTGATGATGATATTGTTTGTGGTTTCTGGATTTTGCTCGTTAATTTGATATTTTTTTTACCTGGAAAATTGTATAGCTGGCATGGGATACCATTTAGTTTAATGTGGATATTGTATGGTGGTTGATTGTCAGGATATTGGTTATGTGATGCATAGATATTTGTATGCTAGGTCTGGATATTTTTATGCCCTGTATGGATATTAGTTCAATGATATTAGCTATTTTCAGGAATTGTCCAAGATGACAAAATCCAAAAGGTGTTCGATGCCAGCTCCTCCAAGAGAAGGGGAGGCGGAGACACATCACTGGCTCAATCCAGACGCATCATGTTGGGAAAACAAAGATTTTGACAACCTTGACCTAAATCAGGTACATAGATGTTGTCTTTGCTTCTTAAGTGACATGGTTGCATATAGTAAACTAAATATTTTACAACATATGTAGCTTGCGGCAATGGAGTCAATGGTTGAGAGCATGATCCAAATGTGGAGGGCTCGGGAGGACGCGCTCAAAAAATTATCAAGCGTCAGCAAGACAACAGTTGAACTATTGCTTTCTCATTTCTTATGTGGTTGTGCTTTTTCGGATTTGAAATTCTTGGATTGCCAAGTTGTAATGACATTAAATACTAGTTTTATCGCGATTTGTCTATCAAACGACCCTTTTTATTAAGAATTCGAGTTTTTTATTCTGGAATATTATTTGCTCGTCGAAAACACATTTCCACAAAACAAATATCCAAACCACTCAAACTAATATCCGACTGTCGCACTAATATCCGTTCTCAATTACAAATATCCATACTACCCAGACTAATATATCACTGTCTCATACCAATATCTAATCATCCCGTTCTCACTATCACAGACTAATATGTGACAAATATCCCGTTCTCACTAATGTGTGTATATATATATATATACACACATTATTTCTTCATACTTGAAAACCAATGTAGATAAACATCCATACAGAACACAAATTCAAACCAGCCAGACAAATATCCGACTGTCCCAGACTAATATCCGCTCACCATCACAGATATCTACACCACCAAGACTAGTATCCCTTCGTCTCAGGCTATTATCCAGTCATACCATAATTATTATCCTCACCATCATAGACAAATATCCACCACACACTGACTAATATCTTACCCCCGCAAACTAATAACCGACTACTCAAACAAATATCCACAGATCACAAACTGATATCCTCCTATCCATAATAATATCCTATCACTGGAGACAAATATCGAACCACCCTAAACACTAAACCAAAACTCCAAACTTGAAACTCTGACCCTAAACCATAAACCCGAACCCTAAACACTAAACCAAAACTCGAACTCTAAACCTGAAACACTAACCCTAAGCTCTAAACACTAAATTGGTTTAATCAATTTCTGATGGTATAAATTCAACGACTCTGAATTGGAAATGAAAAACAACTCAACAAGGACATCAAGGAACATCGACACAAACCAATCCATGTAAAAGCCACAAACCTTGTCATACACGTCCACATAGACACCCTTCTAATATCCATTCATTGCAAAACTAATATCTAATATCCACACAAATATCCAAACACATGAACTAAAGAAATATTTTCTCAGGTTCAAATAAATACCCACACAACCCTAACAAATATCACAATATTTTAAATAAAAATCATGTGGTTAGTAAAAAGTATTACAACTAGGAACGACAAGTATCCACAACACACTAACTAATATCTTACATTTGTACCCTATACCCTAAACCATAAACTCTAAACTCTAAAACCCTAATCACTAAACACTAAAAAATAAAACTATTATTGTTTGCCCAAGCCAAGAATATTCAAAGGTTCCACACAAATATCCAAACACATGAACTAAGGGAATATTTCCTCAGGTTCCAATAAATATCCACACAACTCGGACAAATATCAAAATATTTTAAATAAATATCATGTGGTCAGTAAAAAGTATTAACATTAGGAAAGACAAGTATCCACAACACACTAACTAATATCTTACATTTGTACCCTAACCCTAAACCCTAAACTCTAAAACCCTAATCACTAAACACTAAAAAATAAAACTATTATTGTTTTCCCAAGCCGAGAATATTCAAAGGTTCCACACAAATATCCAAACAAATGAACTAAGGGAATATTTCCTCAGGTTCAAATAAATATCCACACCAACCGGACAAATATCAAAATATTTTAAATAAATATCTTGTGGCTAGCAAAAAGTATTACAACTAGGAAAGACAAGTATCCACAACACACCAACTAATATCTTCTATTTGTACCCTAACCCTAAACCCAAAACTCTAAACTCTAAAACCCTAATCACTAAACACTAAAAAATAAAACTATTATTGTTTGCCCAAGCCGAGAATATTCTAAGGTTCCACACAAATATCCAAACACATGAACTAAGGGAATATTTCCTCGGGTTCAAATAAATATCCACACAACCCGGAAAAATATCAAAAATTTTTAAATAACTATCCTGTGGTTAGTAAATAGTATTACAACTAGGAAAGACAAGTATCCACAACAAACCAACTAATATCTTCTATTTGTACCCTAACCCTAAACCCTAAACTCTAAACTCTAAAACCCTAATCACTAAACACTAAAAAATAAAACTATTATTGTTTACCCGAGCCGAGAATATTCAAGGTTCCACACAAATATCCAAGACCTGAACTAAAAGAATATTTTCTCAGGTTCAAATAAATATCCACACAACCCGGACAAATATCACAATATTTTAAATAAAAATCCCTTGGTTAGTAAAAAGTATTACAACTAGGAAAGACAAGTATCCACAACACACTAACTAATATCTTACATTTGTACCCTAACCCTAAACCCTAAACTCAAGACTCTAAAACCCTAATCACTAAACACTAAAAAGCTAATATCTGAACCACGTAAACTAATATCCATTCATTGCAAACGATCACAAAACTAATAACAAAAACATTAACCCTAAAAAAATAAACTCTAACACTAACACCCTAATCACTAAACTCTAAACCATAAAAACTATTATTATTTCATATGCTTTAATAAACAAAGGATCACATCGAAATAGTTACCAAAAGTATCCCATTAGAATATCCAAACGTCCCAAAAAAATATCCGAAAACATGAACTAATGAACCCTAAATACTAAAACTAAAACGAATATCCACACTACCCAGACAAATATCCACACCACCCAGTCAAATATCCTTCTGTCTCAGAAGAATATCATGTGATCCCAAAATAGATATTATCACTATGACAGACTAATATCCACCACATACTTACTAATATATGATAGTTGTAGACTAATCCGAATAGTTACCAAAAGTGCAAGATGCTTAAATAAACAAAGAATCACATCGAAATAGTTACCAAAAGTGCCCATTAGAATATCCAAACTTCCCAGACAAATATTCGAAAGCACGAACTAATATCAATTCAACCAAAAGCTAATATCCGAACCACGTAAACTAATATCCATTCATTGCAAACGACCACAAGACTAATAATTAAACCTTTAACCCTAAAAAAAATTCCTAAACCCTAACACTAACACCCTAATCACTTTACCAAAAAAGCCCTATTAGAATATCCAAAAGTCCAAGAAATTTTTTGAAAACATGAACTAATATCAATTCAAACCTAAGCTAGACCCTAAACTCTTAACATTAAACCGTAACACAAACCCTAAACCATAAAACTATTATTATTTAATGGGCCTTCGGCCTATGGGCCCTCGGCGGGCAGCCCTAACTAAGGTTGCAAGCCTTACGTGTTAGGACTTCCTAGTGTATTTAATTTCCTAGTGTGTTTAATTTGATGTAAGAAACAATATTTCAATCCTTCACAAATTGAAAACCGAACCATAAACCATAAAACTTAAACTCTAAATTGGTGTAATCAGTTTTGGGTGGTTGGGTTATTTTGGGGTTTGGTAAATATTAGTTTAATGATGGATATTGGTTTGCGAAGGAAGAATACTAGTTCATTTCAACAATGATGCAAAATAATATCAACACAACAGAGAATAATATCGACTGAAAACAAATAAATATCCACACAAACAAACATACATAAATATCACATGGACTGCGAGCCCACAATTTTCGTTCTCTCTCCACTCCTTTCCAAAATCCGCCCAAACTGAAGCGGGCCCACAAAGCCACTTCTTCGGCTCGCCTTTTGCGCCGCACGTTGTGCCGGCTTTTACCCGAAGCCCATCTCCAGCTCACTCAAGTGAGCCACCAACGAGTCCGTCTCTCCTCCGTTGGATCAAATATGGGCCGACGTGGTACCAAATCCAGCCCTGTGAGTATATGTTAACTAATATAGCAGTTAGCAGATTAACTTCTGGGACAGGAGGGAAGGCAAGGATGCCACGAACGAATGCCCAATAGAGAAGCAGCCGCTGACCAGGGGCAAGGATACGACTTACGAGACAACCGTTGAGGTTGAGGTTGATGAGTTCGAAGAAGAAGATCATGTCGCCATCACAAGCACCATATCCATCATCACAGCGTCGGAGTCGCAAGAATCGAATCTGGCTATTGCTTCTATGCTCAGAGAAGAAATTGTTGCGGCAGCCACACCACGACCTGCAGAAGCAACAATAGTGGCGCCACCATCACCACCCTGAGTTGTTGAACCACCATCGAAGGTGTCTAACTCGCCTACGCTGAATGAGGAAGAAGAATCCGGAGAGAGATGCCACACGACAGAGATAGCCAAATATCCGGTTTATCTGTTCGACGGGAAGATGGCGGAGGATCTCAGCAGGCAGCTGCCATTTCGCCGCTTGTCGCCGTTGGAAGATGTTCCGCACTGGCTGGGACCAAGGCTGGAGTAGTTGGGAAGAAGTCAACGCCGGATTGTGTGACGAACTGGCGGTACAGGAAGAAGGAGCTCAGAGTGAGTGTCGGCATCGATCGACGACTTCAGTCAGAGAAGGCCGCCGGGTTTCTTTACAGGTAGATCGGGTAGCGCAAGCGGCTCCATCCGTGTTAGCGACGATGGCTCCAACTGTGCAATTAACGGCAGCTTCCGCCGTGCAAATGTCGGACGTGGCGACGATGAGGTTGGGAGGCGTGCTTGCTGAGGAGAAGTCGGAGGAAGGGCGACAGTCGAGGAAGCTCCGGACGGTGACGAGCTGCTGGCTTAACTACCCGTCGACGGAGAGGCTGAAGTCGCCGCCAACGGGAAAGAAGAAGAAAAGTGGCGGCGATGGTCGAGGAACGAAGCCAGAGTCGGGCTTTGACCTGGTCGTCTTAAGAGGAGTCCGTCGTCACCGAAGATGAAGGCGCTGGGATCGCCACTTGCCCGCCTGGTGGGTGTACCACCGCCGAAGGAGAGGCTAACAACGATGGAGGAGGAGGGCGGCGGGGAGCTTCTCGCGAACCTTCCGCTACCTCTTGCCCTAACCCTCACAACTCAGCAACAACTAGGGATGGCAATAAAACCCATGGCCGCGGGTATCCGACCGCCCCCGACCCAGTCAACGCGGGGAATCCCCGCTTTGACCGGGTATGGGGCGGGTATGGGTAAAACCCGCAAAAAGTTTGATGGGTATGGGGCGGGTATGGTTTTGACCTCCCCCGCCCCATACCCATACCCATACCCGCCCCACCAAGAGAATTTCTTTCACATATAAAAAAATATGTGGATTAAATTGTAATCTATCAATGATGATGAGGATAACTCAAGGAAATAAATAGTAGAAATACAATTGAGTGACCATTTTAATCAAAATCTAATTCATTTCTCTTAATTCTCCTTTCACTCTTTCACTTTTCCCCTTGTCTACAAGATTATGTTAGTTAATTATTACTTAGTAGATGTATAAGAGTTAGAAGATAATAATTTGAAAAATATTATACCCTATATTATGTATTAATGGATGTTTTAGGATCATATACTTTGAACCGTATTAAGAAAATGATTGTGTTTTGTTGACTTCATGATATAATAGGTTCGTTTAGAGTAATAATCAAAACTTTTCTTGTAAATTTTAGGTATAATAATGTTGAAAGTGTGGGTATGGGTATTACCCATGGGTACCCGAGAGTAATAATCAAAACTTTTCTTGTAAATTTTAGGTATAATAATGTTGAAAGTGTGGGTATGGGTATTACCCATGGGTACCCGAAACCCACGGGTATGGGGATGGGTTTGCAAAACATTCCCCCGCATGGGTATGGGGCGGGTATGAGTTTGGGTATTTGAAGATGGGGATGGGGATGGTTTAGACAAACCCGCCCCAAACCCGCCCCATTGCCATCCCTAGCAACAACAGAACGAATGGGGCCAACTAATGCGGGCCAAGTGTGCTGATTGCCCAATTGGAATGGGCTGGTATGGTGTAGAAGGCAGAATAAAACCTTGTTGTGGGTTAGCTTGCGAGAAGAGATCAGTCATTGGGCCACAAATGGATAGGCTTACAAGGAATCTTTTGTATGATTTTGGGCTGGACAAGAAGTGGGCCGGTTTTGGCCTCGGGTACGGGCCAAGTGAGGAAGTCTGCAACCAATTTCAAAAGGGTTATGGGTAGGGCTGTTAATGAACCAAGCCGCTCATGAACGACTCGGTGTGCGACTCGAGAAAAACTCGTTCGACACTCGATTCGTTTTAATCGAGCCGGCTCGCGAACAAGCTCGTTAACTAAACGAGCCGAACTTGAGCCATACCATGTTTAGCTCGAAAGCTCGCGAACAAGCTCATTTAATAGTTTGACATAAAAAAAAGTTTAGAATTCATGGATTTTATGTATTGAAATTAGGATAAATATTGTCTTTTACTTTGCTAGACTTTGCTATAGGTTAGAATGTAATTTTGTGCACAGTTCTAGGTCAATCTTGAGCTATCATGAACATTTTATGAGCTGAACTCGATTTGGGCTCGTTAAGCTTATTTGACGAGCCGAGCTCGAGCTCGAGCCTTCATTTTCATAAACGAGCCGAGCTCGAGCTTGCATATTAAAGCTCGTGACGAACACGAGCCGAGCTCGAGCCTGGAAATATATTAACGAGCCGAGCCCGAACTATGGCAAAGCTCGGTTCGACTCGGCTCATTAACAGCTCTAGTTATGGGCTGTTTCATGTAGGGCTGGCTATTTGGTCTCAGACTGTTTGGTTTTACCTGAAACCGAACCGTATAACCCGGACCGGGACCGGACTGGGACCGGATAGCAAACAATGCAATCTCATATTCGGGTTTTGATTTGAGATAAAAAAAAACCGGATAAAGACCGGATAAGAGACCCCAACACCAAAAATCAAGATAAAATTGGGACCGGACCGGGTCAAGACCGGACTGTATCCAATCCAATCTTTGATACTTATATTCTCGAAAAAACCGGACTGGAACCGGATCAATTTGGTCCAATTTAACCGGACCAGACCGTATAGCCACCCCTAGTTTCATGACCAAAGGGTTGAGCTTCAAAGGGGCCATCAGAGTGGCTCATCTGTGTATGAGGAAGAAGAATTAAAAGATGGGCTATTTCTTCATGGACTTGGGCCAATTGACATGAGCAAGCCTTTGGAAGAGCTTATGGACTTGGAGTCGATGGTAGCTAGGTCAATCTAGGTGGGTTTCGCGTTGGTGAAGCCTCTTCTAAGGGTTGCTTGGGCTCGAAGTCTTGTTCGAGTTCTCAAATGGAAGTGGAAGAAAATAAAGCGGGGCAAGAATGGGTTATGCAAGAGGAGGTTTGAAGGAATGGAGTGAGTCGATCAACTTTGAGGGTAAGGGAAGGGATGATAGAAACGTAATTTCTGGGTTATATAATAATTATCATTAATTTTATTTATTAGGATATTATTAGATATGGTTAGTAGTATTTGAGTAATATTAGGATAGTCTATTAGGTTTTTTCATTCTTTCGTTATAAATATGTAATTTGCATTTTATTCAGAATCAATCAAGAAGAATATTAAGAAAACACTCTCCAAAGCCCTATTCTCCCAATCTTCTCAATTCTCGATCCCAACCCTCTAAAGGCTTCGGCCAATTCTCTATCTTTCTCTTCTCAAATCCTTAATTCTGTTTTTTAATCTCTAATTACCAATCTCACAACCAGATCGGATAGAACCCTAATACCAGATTTTTATCACCGGCTGCCCACTGTCTCCGGAAGCCCGACGATGCAGTGTTGGCGGTCATCGTTTCCTAGATCGCCTCTGCATTGGAAGAGGCCGTAGATCCCTAGGTTCTCGTCGCCTGCAGTGGATTTGAAGAACTTGGAGCGAGAAGACTCCGTGAGGAGTTCTTGCTAAAGCACGGAAAGCGTTCGACAATATGCCTTAGTGGCGCACGTGAAACTTTGATTTGCACATTTGGTGTATAACAAGGAGCTGAAGTCTGAACTGGTTCCAGATATAAGCAATAGTAAAACCCAGAAGATGGGTTTCTGTTTCGTTGGCGAAACTCGCGCGTTCAATGCGCTCTGATTTCAAGGAAACAAAAACCCAAAGTCAGCAAAAAACCGTCAAATATCCGCCACCGAATGTCGGCGCCGTTGATTTGATCGATTAAACAGAAACCAAGATGACTGTCAAATATCCACCGCCGGCGTCGGCGATGTTGATTCGATCAATACACCTTTGACTTCTAATCAAACAACCGTTACTCGGTTCACCACCTCTCCAAACTACGTTCGAACGAGGGTGTTCAACGAATAACCAGAAAATCAAACCAGGAGTTCTAAGTTACGTTACCTCTACTCCTATGGAGGTTCTTCTGGAGAGCTCCGCAACTACGACTACAACTACTACGACTCTGCAAAGGAGGTCTTTGACAGAGCAGTTCTACAAAGCTACGGAGAAAAACTGATAGATCTGCGACGGTGCAGTTTGAGATTTGATTTTGCCGTCCGAACTTCTCTCTCTTCCCAATCTTTATACTTCGCGCTTCTCCTCGTCGTAGTAACCGCCTTCGCGCCTTTGTCTCCCACGTCTTCACTCCTGTCAACCGTGCAGGCAACTTCCTCCTTGTTGCGTAACTCCCACGAGTGCGAAACCGCTTGAGCACGTGGCACCGCTGAGCTTCCTTGCGGTAGCGTTTTAGTTCTCCGTGACGCCGCTCGACTCCCAACGATACCGTTTTTTACGCGCGGTATCGACTTAAATGACGTGACTAATTAATGCAGCATTTAATTCTGGTCGAATTAATTTTAGGTGTCAACAGTTTCAATGTAGAACCTGAATCCATCAAGGAATTTTGCTCTGTTCTTTCTTATGGGACTCTGTTTTGTTTCTGGGGGGAAGTAGAGGAGGGCTGAAGGAAGCTCATGTGTTGTTGAGAATAATGACCCAGAACATGCTTTCAGAAGGATTCTGGTGAGAAATCTTGATGAGTTTTTGCTTGAGCCAATCAAAATATTGGGCAAGAAGTGTGTGCCTCTTGTGAAATCTGCAGCCATATATGTTTGGGGAAAGTAGTTGGTGTGTGCTGCTGAATTTCCAACCTAAATCCATCCATCTGTGAACTGTGAAGGTAGGAAGTCAAAAAAGAAGCAGGACGAGAATGGGCAGCATCCAGAATTTCAAACCAATAACATCCAATATAGGCTCTTTTGTTGTTGTGAAGGATCGATTCGGTTGGCAGCCTGACGACGAAAGGCAGACGGTGACCGATGCTGAAACCACACCAATATTAATTGACTGCAATCTTCTTGTTGTTCCCGACTCCAGAGATGATCTATAAGCACAACGCAATCATCGCCAAACCCACTTGAGGATTTTGTAGAGTATAAATTGGTTGATTGTGGCCTAGAAAACAGGGATTGGCAGGATTTTGTGTCAAGTGACAAGTACACCGTGGTCTTTCTTTTTTATATATATTGTTGGACTAAAGACCTGCATCGGCCCCTAATTCCAAACGTTAGCCCTCTCTCGGCCTAAATTTCTCAAGAAGCTTTTTATCGTATGAATCGAAGAGGATGCTCATTATGTAACATGCCCACGTTTCCATATATAGATGAGTTAAATTAATATTTTATTAATTAATTATTAATATATAAAGGCATAATATGAGAGTTACTATTTATTAGAGCCTCTCACACTTCCAAGTGAAAGTGGGGAACTTCAAAATCCTTCTTTTACCCCACTCTCCATTCTACAACCTTTGTGTTTAGTTATTGTTCGCTAGATTTTCGTTAATGCTTTTTGCACAAATCATTGCCTTTTCCTACCATTTTGAAGTCCATCCCGAAATATTGTTGGCGGAATCCTAAGGTGTCCCCAACCACCGTTTCCTAAGGCCGCTACCACGAGTTTTGTATCGGGACCGAGTTTCATCCTCTTTAGTGTTTTTTCTTTCTTTTTTCCTTTTTGTTGAGAATGATAACAATTAAACCAAACACATAAGTATCCTAACTTGAACACAAATCATCGTCTTTGCCCACCATTTTGCAGCCCATCTTGAAATACTGTCGGCAGAATCCTAAGTTGTTTCCCATCATCGTTTCCCAAGGCCGCTACCACGAGTTTTGTATTTGGACCGAGTTTTATCCTCTTTAGTGGTTTGTTATTGTTCGCTAGGTTTTTGTCTATGGCTTTTTGCATAAATCATCGCCTTTGCCCACCATTTTGCAGCCCATCTCGAAATACTGTCAACGAAATACTAAGTTGTTCCCCACCATCGTTTTCCAAGGCCGCTACCACGAGTTTTGTATCAGGACCAAGTCCTCTTTAGTGTTTTTTCTTTCTTTCTTTTCTTTTTTGTTGAACATGATCACAATTGAAACCAAGCTCCTCTAAAAGACATTTGACGAAAATAGTGATAGAAGAGCATATTTGTTATATTTTGATAGTTGAGGGGCATGACCGTGCAAAAAAATAATATAGCATTATATTTGTTAACTTGCAAAAGTAGAGAGGTAAGAAATGTTATTAACCCTAGTTTAAATGATATTCTCTTTCTACATTCGATTCATTCTTATGAATTTTATGCATATTTTTGTTGTGATCGGGCTTGGTGTTGTTTGTAGTTGGGTATCAGGCCAGCTTGTCCATGGGCACGCACAACACGACATGGTTAGAGCACGACACGAGCACGAACATGAGCATGAATAGTTTATGGAAAAAAATTCAAAAGTACCACTATTTAAAAAAAATTACAAAACTACCATCCATGTACGAAAATATCCAAAAATACCAGCCTTTCTCGTAAACCGCTGGGTGGGGGCGCGATTTTCAATGAAAACCAAGCGGGCAGGGTGCGGTTTTGTTGAAAATCGCACCCCCACCCGGCAGTTTGCAGTATATAAATTTTTTTGTCCACATAAATCTCATTAGTGGTCTTGACACAATTGGTTTAGTTGGTTCCTTGTTTGCAAGTTCGAATCACCATCATACCATATTGCATTTTTTTAATTAGTAGAGAGATTAAAAAAAGTAGGAGTGGTGGTTCGAATCCAGATACATTAAATAGTTAACCAAACTCACCACAGCCTCTAGACCACCACACTACAACTCCTCTTTTGAAATAATTACATATTGACAAACTTTTAATCCTTGAACACTAAAAATTCTCAATAACTTTTGACGGCCGTAACTTTGTGATTCAAAATCCGAAAGTCATAATTTTTTTTATTCCGCATAACTTTTCAATTACTACAACTTTTATCATAGTCATAATTTCGGAATGTACATGGATTTGTGAAATGTAAAGGTAAAGTTATTCCCAAGATCCCGTATATCTAAAACTAATTTTTGTTTTGAAAATTTCATCTTAGTAAAAACTTGTAGATCTTAAAAAGTTATGCTGAATTAAAAAAAGTTTGTGACTTTCGGATTTTGGAGCACAAAGTTATGACCGTCCAAAATTTGATGAAATCATAAAAAAGCTCGTTCGGGTAGGAAACGGCATTTTTTCGCGACGGAGGGGGGACCAAACCGCCTATGGCCATTTCCGGCTTGCAAGATCTCAAAAAGTTATCCGGATTAAAAAAAATCGCTAAGATCGAATACCCGAGTGCAAAGTTACGTTCGTTTGAAGTTTCGGGCGAGGTTAGGAGTTGATCGGAAAAAAAAAATTGGACCAACCCCCCCCCCCCCCTAGTGGTTTTCGTGTAAACCGCAGGGTGGGGTGGCGGTTTTCTGAAAAGGGTGGTATTTTTGGAATTTTTGGGGTTGAATGGTATTTTTGTAATTTTTTTTAAACAGTGCTATTTCTGGAAAAAAATACTAGTTTATGGACCTAATTAATAATATCGTATCATGACAAATTGAAACTCGTAGATTAAACATAGTATTATACTATTCTTTCTCAAATTAGTTTTCATATTAACTA